GAGGCAATTAGTTCCTCGTTAAAAGGCTTCTATTGCGGTGATTGTATATTATTTGTTGTTATGGGTTTGGAGGGAATTGTCAAAAATTCCCGCTAAACTTTCCGCAGGGAAAACTCTATTTCCTCGTTAATAAATTGTGAAAATGGGAGACATATTGCGAGGAAATTAATTCTTCTTTAAAAAGCTTATATTGCAAGGATTATATATTGTTTGCTGCTATAGGTTTGAAGAGAATTGTCAAAAATTCCCGCTACACTTTCTGCGAGGAAAAAACTATATCCTCGTTAATAAATGATGTGGGAGACATACTGCAAGGAAATTAATTCCTCGTTAAAAGGCTTCTATAGGTTTGGATGGAATTGTGCAAAATTCCCGCTACACTTTCCGTGAGGAAAAAAATATTTCATTGCAAGTGAAAATCTACAGCGCCCACATTGTTTGTCGTTACTTAGCAATCTTTGTCCACTTACGCAACTACCATCCTCACTTTTCAACTTCGTGATGCGATTACATTGCCTCCTTTTGAATAGTGGATAGGTGAAAGAATTTTGTCTTTGCATCCCCTTCTTTTAACCATTTGACCCAAGCATGCTGACTCCAAAACTGTTCCTCATTTTTCCACAAATTCTCCAACTCGTACTTCACTCTCATTTGACTAATAACAAGGTCCCCACTAGTATGATTGGACCAAATTTTAGTGAGTTCCTTCATCAGTTCATGGATACGAGGTCTGCAATTTTGAATCCTCGCTTTACTCCACCTTTTTAAAGTATCTCGACAATTCTTTAGTTTCTCACACCACTGTTTGCATGGAGGGCCATAAGTGGGAGTTTCCCAAATCGCACGAATAATCTCTTTACAGTCTGGCTCTTTTAGCCATTTAGTTTCAAACTTGAAAAGAGCTTTCTTTTTACCAGAGGCATGTTCATTGACCAAAAATAGTGGACAATGGTTATAACCTACACATGGCTCATGATGAACACAAGTGTTCAGCCAGCACACAAGCAATTAGGTATTCGAAAGACCACGATCATTCCTCTCCCTTATCTTACAACAGTCACCATTGTTCCTGATCCACGTAAATCTCTGACCTTTATAACCTAAGTCCAGTAAGTTATTAAAATTCATAAAGTCTAGAAGATATCGCTTTCTTCTAGGATTCCATCTAACCCCTCCCCCCCCC